TTGGTTTATAAACATTATTTTAAACATTATGCACTTTTTTTCACAGATAGTCATGTTATATGCTCGATGCGCCCTCTTGTGGCCTCAGAAGAGAAGCCAAAAGCTTTTCTTTACCCTAACTGAAATTATGCATTTTAAATTCGAATATAATTCGAATTTTGATCATATTTAAGCACAAAATTTGAATTTAGTTTTTCAGCCATTTTGACAGCCCTAAAACACTCCGTTTATTCCATCTATCTGAGTTTACATTATGTAACATTTGCTGTCGATTTTATGCTTAGTTTCTTTTGCATCTCAGAGTGAATCTGTGACCCATTTCTGGGCCACAACCCCCAGCTGAAAATCACTCCTTCAAAAAACACTGTTTCAAGGCTTAGACTGATTATGAAGTAAATGTTATAGAAACGAATTAAGTGAAGATAAACATCAACGCAAGATGACACAAGTTAGATGTTATGTTTTGTTTTTGATATCACTATGGTTACATCAATTATCTCACCTCAAGCATATAGTATCTATACAGGAAGGCTCCTCCCACCACTACACCAGAGAGAACGAGAGCCAATCCCAGACAGAAGCACCAGCACCACACCTTAGACTGCGGACGCACCAACACCGCTGCCTCAGAATCCTACAGAGAAATTACAGTTACAACATTACATTTAAACAATTACTTAACAATATATATATATATATATATACACACACACAACTGTTCGAAAGTAATTAATACATTTATTCAGCAATTATTCATTAAATTGATCCAAAGTGACAGTAAAGACATTTATAATGACATGAAAGATTTCTATTTCAAATAAATTCTATTCATCAAAGAATCCTGAAAAAAATAACATCACGGTTTCCACAAAAATATTAAGCAGCACAACTGTTTTCAACATTGATAATGATAAGTGTTTCTTGAACATCAAAAATGATCATTTCTGAAGGTTCATGACACTGAAGACTGGAATAAAGGCTGCTGAAAAAATCAGCTTTGTCATCAAAGACGTATATTAAATTTTAAAATTTATCAAAATAGAAGTTATTTAAATTGTAATAATATTTCACAAATTACTGTTATACTGTATTTTTAATCAAATAAATGCAGCCGTTTAAATGTGAGCATATTAAACAAGGCCTAAAAGAAAAGAACAGGTCAACACGAGAATTAAAGTGGTCTCTCCAAGTTACAGAGAGTATTTTCAAAGTAGTAAAGGACAAAATATGAATATTATTGGATAGAGATTCATTGTCCTTGTTCAAATGAATGCCTGATTTTAAGCACTATGTACAATATACAGTATACAAAAGGGCCTGACTCTCCACCCTAAACTTTCAGTCGTGTCCCTGTAAACATTCACATACAGCTTACAGACAGCAGATATCATCTGCCATGAGACGCACCACAAATGAACCCAGAAAAAGTCTATTCACAGCCTATTTTAGACAGAAATGATGACAAATGGCAGTTTTGAGACAAACAGAACAAAAAAAAGAAAAAAAAAGAAGTGAGATTCACACTGCATCTCTTCTGGTTTCAAGTCGAGAGGCATTAAAACAGTTTGGTGTCAGCAACTTCTGCTAAAAGTCATAAAGAGGAAAATTCTTCAAATTGTAATCTACATAAATGCTTCACTCAAATAATAATTGCACACAAGCACAAGCATGAATTGAAAGAGAAAGTAAATCAAGCAGTTTCTATTTGACTAGCAGAAGGGGAATTTAATTTAGTATTAGAATGATAAAAAGAGAGACACAAATAACATGTATAATGCAGGAGGGAGAGAGATACAGTGCCACTGAAAGCATTCAGACCTCCTTGTTTCATTGTGCTCTACTTATTTAATCCAAATAGTCAAAATAGTTTATCCTAGTTTAATATCCTGCAGTGGATTTTTTTATTTTTTTTTGCACATTATCTCATTGATGTATCAATTTGCAAAAGCTAAAGAAAACAAGTGAGTTTTCTAAAGAGATTTAAAAACCGATAGAGATGGAGCAACTCTGAGGTGCGCTGGCAGGCTGTTCTATAATCTAGGGCCCATCACCAAAAAAAATCTATCTCGTCTGCGTTTTAGCCTAGCAGAAGGAACCATAAGTAGGTTTTGATTACCAGATCTTAAATCTCTGGTAGGGTTGTAGGGAATGCTGCAATTCTGATAAGTAACGTGGGGCAATGTTGTGTAAACATTTATAAACAAATAGGATTTTTAAATTTATCCTAAAATGAATAGGGAGCCAATGAAGAGCTCACAAAAGAGCTTATAACATTTTGCCCTTTGGTTTCTTTCTTTCTTTTTTCTGTTTTAATAATAATGTTTCATTTATATAGAACCTTTCCATAGCTCAGTTGAGATACAGCAGGGAAATCAAATCAAAACAACAATCAAATGGTATAGACAAGCAGTAGAATAGCTTTTAGTTCTAAACTTAAGTTGAGGTCTACCTTTCATATTCTTGGCTTGCAGTTCTGACTGTTTATGCAATACACCAATGTTCTTTAAAGTTGCTTGTTTGTATCATAAACATGTTTGAGAGTGCACACATTAAACATGTCTCAACACGTCTGTCTTTCACAACCCATGAAAAGCACTCACATATATAACAGTGAAGTCTCCTGTTAGTGAGCGTAAAGCATTTCTATATAACACAGCTAAATGGTTAAGTCCACTTTGCAGGGCACTTGGTCAACTGGAATGCACCTACTGTTTATTTCAATTTTAGTTTTACTTTTGTAAGTGGCGCCCTAGTACTTAGAGGTACCGGCACCACTGGCCCATAGTCTGTCCTTGATTTGGTCATTTTTAACTAGTGCAGCCTGCACACATACATTAATTTTAAATCATTCATACTTGTGAACAAATTTTCCAATAGTTGGCCCTTACAGTACACACAGGAAAAACTTTAAATATACCCCCCTGTATCTGTCATCCATATTCTATTCTATTATACTTTTATTAATAATACCAACAATAATAATAATATATATATTTGTATAACAGGGCACATGTATCAACTGTGTCACAAGTATTTCATCTTTTTTCAATAAAAAAGAATCAAATAGCTTTTTTATCAGCATACATATAAAAAATAGACAAAAAAATGTCAGTGAGGCAACAACAGGCTGTGTCAGCTGCCAACACACACACACACACACACACACACACACAGCTCAGTACAGTCTGTTCAGGCAGTATCACATCCAACAATACCAGGAAATTATGCGTTTATTAACATTTTATAACACTTACAAAAACGTACCATTGTAACTAATGTTTCTGTCAAAATACCATAGTAGCCTATCTAATTACAATTATTTTGACCTCACTTAACTATGTGTACTCGGTATCAGCAACCAACGTCATCAAAGAATAAATCAAACATTAAAAAATCATAAAAACATAAAAAGAAATTAAAATAAAATACATTAAATATTATTTAAAGTAAAAATTCAAATGAAAATGAGGGTCATACTGAATTAAAAAAAAAACTTTTTTTTCTTTGTGGACTAAGGCAACTCTTTATAAAAAGGGCAGGTAGTTCAATTCATTATTAATTTAATGAGGTGAAAAGAACTGCGGTAACTTTTTACCAGGGTATTAGTGATTACAAGGGTGATTACGTTACCCGTCTTTGACAAACTTTGGGCCGTCAGCCATTTTATAACACTTTCACTGAACCTGATCAAAGTTTAATGCGCAAACCTGAACAAGGAAACACATTTACTTCTACATTTGGGACACTCTCTATACTTCTCTCAAGATAATATAACATCAATGTGCACATATACCTGGACTTTTCGATTAAAAGGCTTAATTACGAGATCATATTGATAATAATATTGAACGCAACATTCCTAAAACGCGGTTAAGCAATTCAATAGCAGTAAATATACACTAGATGTGTTAGTAACTACAGTACCTGTACATCAAGAATGAGACTTTCCTTCTTTGGATCCTTGAAGGCGAGAGCCTTGTTAAAAGAAACTTTAACCATACTGAAAAGTTTCTGTAAGTGGTTGTTTACGCGAGATCGAGAAAGAATAGAGACAGAGCAAAATGAAAGCGTTTAGTTTCCTGATCAGCAGCGATGTCTGTGTGTGACGCACATGACAGATCAGACCATCAACAGCGCTCACTGCCTCTAGTGACAACTACTAGAAAATCAACTACAACTATGGCAATCACTTTTAACAAATGTATTTCTCAATACATTGTTATAATTACTTTAAAATTACCAGTAGGCCTACTTTTAATTACAATTAAATGTAGAATATATAAGGAAACAAACAATTATAATAACATCTGGACTTATTCTTGAGAACCATAAAGCCATGGTCTCATCTAGGGGTCCGAGGCCTCAGCAGACTTTCGGGTGGCCCTCAAGGTGACTTAATATGATTTAAAATAAGACAAAACAAGCTTTGAAATAAGCCAAAACAATAAGCTTTGAATTTTGTCAGATAGTGTGGGGCCTTGTAGTCAAAAGGCTGAGAACCACAGGATATAACTGCAAAAAAAAAAAAAAATGCTATTCCAGTTGTTGTTGTTGTTAACAGTATACACATTTTATGTGTAACTGTTTAGATGATTTAATAACAGGTTGGAATGGCTAAGGTTCAATTAAATTATTAACAGTAAGATTAAAAATGTTGCTTAAAGATGACAACAAGTGGACAGTAACAAGCTTATTGACAAAAAGTCACAGGGAACTAAACATTTGGGCTCCAAACACACCTGGTGCCATTTCTACAGATGGTGGCACCAGGTGTGTGGGGGTATTAAAAATAAAGATAATTTATTAATAAAATTATTGTTTTGCATTAGTAAGTGCAGATACTAATAAAATTACACATTTATTTCTTGGTAATGTACATTTGACAATAAAGCACCGAGTTTGAGTTGGGAAGCATACAAAATTTATTAACAACAGTATATTTTATAACCTGCGAAATCAAATTTTTATATGAAAATGTTTTTATATTCTACTCTTATTAAATGTACCATTATTCTATTATAGTATTATACTGAACTGACCGACAAGTTCAGTGATTATTAGGAGCGCTCTTTACTAGCTTTATCTGTGATTCTGTCGCAAATTAAAGTGTTTTTCAAGGCACTTTGTGACTTTTATTGGCCTACTTCATACGCAAAAAAAGAGCAAAACTTTGACAAAATTTGATTTCTTGATTTGACATTTTCTAATAGTGATTTTATAACGAGCAAAAATGTGGAAATTAATGACTAATAAGCCAGCAAGTGCTCCTCTGCTGTCATCTACTGGTTATAATGGTAATTTATTTATTTATTAAATAAGTGTTTGTTTACCACAAAGTATATTTTGGTCATCCCATTAAAATAACATTTAAATTGGATAATTTTTAGAGCTTTAAAGTGCTGGAAATAGTTGTGTGAAATACTTGAAAGTCATTGAAATTTCTCTCTCAAAAGGTTGTACAAACCCTGAAATTAATAATGTAATAACATTCGACTATTTCTGCCACAACACAATGGTTATAGTTGGCGTTACTACTTCAGGTTTTCTATGTCAGCGCTGTTTGATCTGTTTCTAACAGAATTCCGTGCAGAATTTGAATGCATCTCACTAGATCTCGAACCTTATTTATTCTGCGGCGAATTCAAACATTTGCATCTTCTTGGACTCACCTCTATCCAAAAAACGCAATTTAAACGTACAGAGTAAAATATGCTAATTTCAGTGACTCGTAAAACACAAAAAATGGTAATCTATATAAATATTCTTAATCGGTCAATCAAAAACGAATATTGGTTGATCCTCACCAGCGCTGAGAAAATGAACAAGTAAATAACAACGGCATCTATAAGTGACAGATATTGCTGTCATACTTGTAGTGTTCTCAGTCGTTTGCTCTGTTACCCCGCAGTTTTACAAGAACTGTTTATAAACACCACAGATAATATTTTATTGAGAGCGATTGTACATTGTGGTCCTTCTGCCGACAGGCGTCACTGACTCATGCTTATGCGTTTTATTTCTCACGCATGCGCATTGCGCAAGAGAGGACAAACAGTCATGGCGGCGGCGGAGAAGCCCACGAAAGAGAAGCTTTTATCCACTCTGGATGATATTGAAGTTTTATCCAGGTTTGTCTTCATATATTCTGCATGTTTAGATGTAAATAACTTTGTAAATAAATTTCTGTGTGCTTTTGTTTTTAATCTGTTACAAAACAGAGTTATATTAAACTGCTAACGTTAGTTCATTCTTGAAATTTTCAGTGATTTCTGCTAACAGTTGCTGGGTTAGATAATAATCGAATAAATAAATCACAGTCTCCTTTGTCCACTCGAGTCTACTGTTTTCACAGCTATTAACACATATACTGACACACTACTACCATTCACACACAGCTCCTCGTTGGTTCTCTTATATTCTTGTTTGTGTTGCAGAGAGCTGATAGAGATGCTGGCGCTGTCCAGGACACAGAAACTGCCCCAGCCTGGGGAGGACACAGAGGTGAGAGACACTCTACTAGACACACAAGTACAGACAATACTCAATTAGTGATTGAGACAACGTTGAAATCTGAAGAAGAAGATATATTTGTATCTGATATTTGCAGGTATTAAAATTCTGATTTAGCCTGGGAAAAAGAAAAAAAGCCTGAGAAATCTTAAGAAAAAACATTTTGCTTTGCTATTTAATTAGAGTTCGTATTAATATTGCCTTGTGAATTGTTGTGTGCTTGCTGGACTATTATATGGCAGTGTAGAGCATGAATTGACTGTATGCTGATTCTGTGAGCAGATACTGGAGCTGTTGGTGCAGAGAGATAAAGAGTTCCAGGAGCTCATGCAGACGGCGGTGGAGCAGGGCAAAGTGCACCAGGAGATGCAGGCACTGGAGAAGGAAGCCGAGAAGAGAGACAGCGATATCCAGCAACTGCAGAAGCAACTCAAAGAGGCTGAGCATATACTGGTAACTGACATGAGCCAAATGCACATTTATTTCAGTAACATTCAGTTACAGCATGCTTAATCAATTTACAAACTGTCACTTTTTGTGCAGCTTTTAATTTGAAAGAATAATTTAGGCTTTGAATTTCAATATTGTTAAAATTAACTCTTTTTTTATGATGTGTATTTACACTGTAACAAGGACACTATAATAAAGTGCAACCCACTCAGTCTTTTTATACAAACTGTGTTTGACACAATATTTATGAATCACTTCTTTAAACTGGAAATAACTGTGTTTTTCATTAATCATCAGGCCACTGCTGTCTACCAAGCCAAAGAAAAACTGAAGTCTATTGAAAAGGCCAGAAAAGGTATTATGGTGGTTTTAAAATGATGACCATATTTTCTGGAAACATTGCTGGAAAAGTAAGTCACACCTGGCTATAAGTCGCACCAGGTCAAATTTGCATTGTTGAGAAGAAGAAAAAAAAAAAAACCACACAGAAAAGTTGCATCGAGTACAAGACATTTTATTATTCCATTCAGAAACATTATAAACACTATAAATATGTATTTTAGTTTCCCTTACGCCACAACAAATCCTATAAATTTAATGGTATTCATAACTGAACAGGAATGTAAAATATAAAGCAAGCATAATTTATAGTGGCATTCATTTTTTAAAGGAATTTATTTAAACTGACAGTGAAACTGCTGGCTTGTGGGAAATACACTATACAAATAAACTTGGGCTCACATGTGCTTGACATTAATTTCATTATATAAGCCTCTTTAGATTTTAAGTCGCAGCACGTTTCAGATGATTTAAAGTGTGACTTATATTCTGGAAAATATGGGAGTTCTCAGTAGAATTGATTCAGTCACAAGACTGAGATGCAGGTAATTGTATTTTATTTATTTGATTTAATGTATTGATATACCATAGTATCAAATAGATTCTGCTCTAGTTAAAAATCGACTTTCTCTGTGTCTCACTCTTTTTGTTTTTCACTAGGGAGTATCTCTTCAGAGGAGATCATCAAATACGCTCACAGGATCAGTGCCAGTAATGCGGTGTGTGCTCCTCTCAACTGGGTTCCAGGTAAATAGACAGTATTTTTTATTCAGTTCTTTCACTCATTTGATTTCCTAAGAAACATTTTGTGTTGTATTTGTAAGTTCTTATGATGTGCATGTATGTGTAGGTGACCCCCGCAGGCCGTACCCCACTGATCTGGAGATGCGCAGTGGAATACTGGGTAACATGAGCAACATGTCCACCAACGGAGTGAACGGGCACCTGCCTGGAGACGCATTGGCTGCTGGGAGATTACCAGGCAGGCTCACTCTTTTGTTCAGATGTTTAATCAAATTAAAAAATTTATATTTATAAGTTTTTAAAAATTTTTAATGAAAACAATAGAATATGAACAAGTAGAATAAGTTGAAATCAAATGAAATCAGTATTAAAATTAATTTGTACTACAGAGGTGGAACAGAAGAACACAAAAGTGGTTTGTAGGTGTATTTTCAGACGTTTAATGAGGCTCAGAGGTGGCATAAGTGCAATTAAATTCATAAATTCATGTTGAGAATTATGTTTTAAATATAAAATTTTGATTATAGAAATGTTAAATGATTTAAATAACTGAAATGATACTTTAAAAAATGAGACTTAAGCTGCCAGTATGTGTCAGCAAGCCACTGATTTTATCACTGAATCAAGCAAGTGAATCAATGAAGCAAGTGACTGTCTTTATGAATGTTTAATTGATAGTTTTCACGTGACGTCACACCCTTAAAGGAACGCCCACATGGAGGGCAAAACAAGGCTTTCCTCCACTGACCGCCAGTTATTTTTATAAGGATTGCTTTAAGTAGTAATGTAGTAAGACAGTGATATTTAAAGACCAGTTCAGTATACACTTTATTGATGATGCAGACTTTGTTCAGGCAAGCAGATGAACCCAGAATATAAACTCAATGAGCAAAGTTTAATATAAAATGTTTTCTCATAGAAGACCATTATAAAGAAGACGCTTAACCATTTAGCGCATTGCGTGTTCCGGCTCATTTGCTTGCCTGCATAAAGCACGCATCAGCAGTAAGGTGTGTACTGAATTTGATCTTTTAATATCACCATTTTAAAGGCACTTTAAGTATTTTCACATTAAACGT